GCTGCACACTCGCCCGACATGAACCTTAGCCCGCTCCCTCGTTGCGCCGCCCTCCGCAGACTCAACGTCCGAGCTTTGTCCCCCGTCACTTTCCTCTCATTCAGACCCCACACACGCGCATAGCTGTTCGCACATCTCTGACCAATGCAGGCGCCTTGCCTCACTCCGCTCACGGCACCCATTCTGTCCGCTGTGCAGGACGCGCACCGAGAGGCGCTACATGGTCGACCTCATCGAGGTGGAGGACGACGAGTCGAAGTCATGGAAGAAGAAAGAGCCCGGTCCGCTCAAGGACATCGTTGACGCCGGCGGCAAGCCCGCTGGCGGCATCCAGTCCGAGGGCGAGCCCGCATCGCTCGAGGACGTGATCCCGTCCAACGGCGAGCCCGCATCGCTCGAGGACGTCATCCCGTCCAACGGCGAGCCCGCATCGCTCGAGGACGTCATCCCGTCCAACGGCGAGCCCGCATCGCTCGAGGACGTCATCCCGTCCAACGGCGAGCCCGCATCGCTCGAGGACGTCATCCCGTCCAACGGCGAGCCCGCATCGCTCGAGGACGTGATCCCGTCCAACGGCGAGCCCGCATCGCTCGAGGACGTCATCCCGTCCAACGGCGAGCCCGCATCGCTCGAGGACGTCATCCCGTCCAACGGCGAGCCCGCATCGCTCGAGGACGTCATCCCGTCCAACGGCGAGCCCGCATCGCTCGAGGACGTCATCCCGTCCAACGGCGAGCCCGCATCGCTCGAGGACGTGATCCCGTCCAACGGCGAGCCCGCATCGCTCGAGGACGTCATCCCGTCCAACGGCGAGCCCGCATCGCTCGAGGACGTCATCCCGTCCAACGGCGAGCCCGCATCGCTCGAGGACGTCATCCCGTCCAACGGCGAGCCCGCATCGCTCGAGGACGTCATCCCGTCCAACGGCGAGCCCGCATCGCTCGAGGGCGAGATGATCCTACTCTGGCCCACGGGCGATGACTGGCGTGCGGCAGCCGAGCTCGCGGATAAGCTCAACTCGCAGCCGGGCGTGGACATCGACATGGTCTGCTTGGCGGGGTGCGTGGCGGTGGTTCGGGTGGCGACGGAGTCGTCGCAATGGATGGACGCCGTCTCGCCCATTGGCTGCCACATCCACTTCATTGGCTGCCGCATCCACTACATCGTGTCGACGCTCAACAGCGTGTGGGCCGGCAAGATCACCGGGATGTTCTTGGAGAACGACATCCAAGATCTGCAGGAGATGCTGTGCGTGTCCGACAACTCCAAGGCGGCGGCCCTCTTCGTCGAGCGCGTTTGGCAGGCGCTGGGTGTCCTCGCGCAAGCCTTCTCCTTGGAGAGCCCCTGCTACCAGGACGACGAGACACCGGCGTCGGCCAAGACGTTCCCGGAGGAGACGGCTTCGGCGGTGAGCGCCCTGCAGCCCCCTGCAGCGTCTCCTGCACCGCTGTACGCTCACACGATTTGCATTCGCCCTCTCGATCGAGCACGTGCACACATGGACATGGGTATTGCCGGGACACGGGAGTCCCACGTGCGGTACTCATATTGACCCTGTGGCCTCTCGCACACGCGCAGGGCATCGACGAGTGGACGACCCCCTCCCCGCTCCGCAAAATCGAGCGCAAGGGCAAGCCCAGCCTGGTCGACTGCTCCAAGAACACCACTCCGATGGACCCACCGACGGCCCCCAACGGCGTCACCAAAAGTGTCCCGGCTCTCACGCCGGCGGCGACCGGCGGCGCGCTGCTGCCGTCGAGCGAGGAGTTTCCGGTGGAGACGCCCGCCCCGGCGGCGAGCGCCTTGCATTCTGCGCCGTGCGTCTGCCGACCCACTCGCTCTCCCACCGGTAATAATCTCCCTTCCCGTGTGCCCCTATCGCGCTTGCAGGACACCACCTGCTACCCGGGCCTGCCCACGCCGATGGCGGCGGGGAAGAGCGGGCCCGCGTCGGCCCGCAGCGGCTCCGGACCGGGCTACGTGGACGGCGTCGAGGCTGCAGTCCGCCGGCTGGGCGAGAGCGTCAGCTACCAGGCTGCGCCCGCCGACGGCGAGAAGTCGCCGTCGCCGGGAGTCCCCACCTCCGGCGGCATTGCGCCCGTGGCGCCCAAGCCCCTGAGCGCGGTCGCGGGCGCGGGGCAGGCTGAGGCCGAGGCCGCCAAGGAGCGCGAGCACTGGGAGGGGCGGCTCAAGAAGGCGAAGGCCGCGCTCGATCTCATTGCCGAGCAACGGGAGAAGTGGGCGGACTTGCAGTCGCGGCGCTCGGGGAAGTGCCGGCGCAAGGCCATGCGCTGCCGCAACAACCCCAAGTTTGGCAAGGCAAAGGGCAGGCGCAAGTCTGGCAAGGCAAAGGGCCGCGGCCGCCGCCCGAACTGGCGCCGCGAGCCGCAGACCACGTCCGGCAAGGCGCCATTCGCCGCTGGCACGTGCGGCGCCGGCGCTGGCACGTGCGGCGCCGGCGCTGGCACGTGCGGCGCCGTCGCTGGCACATGCGGCGCCGGCGGTCGCGCCGCCCTCAAGGCGGCGGCCAACTGCGTGCAGGGCGGCTACACGAAGGCCGAGGGCGCCTTCCGGTGGCTGCTCCTCGTCTGCATGCCCGCCTTTGGCCACTGCGCGTCCGCCGTGCCTAGCCCGACGGCGGTGGCCTCGGCCTTCTCGTCTGCCGTCGCCTCGGCTGCGTCCTCGGCCTTCTCATCCGGCGTCGCCTCGGCTGCGTCCTCGGCCTTCTCATCCGGCGTCGCCTCGGCTGCGTCCTCGGCCTTCTCATCCGGCGTCGCCTCGGCTGCGTCCTCGGCCTTCTCATCCGGCGTCGCCTCGGCTGCGTCCTCGGCCTTCTCATCCGGCGTCGCCTCGGCTGCGTCCTCGGCCTTCTCATCCGGCGTCGCCTCGGCTGCGTCCTCGGCCTTCTCGCCCGCCGTCGCCGCGTCCTCGCTCGTGAGCTGCTCGCCGCTTCTCATGCCCACCCTCGTGCTCATCCTCCTCGCCATCGCCTGCGGCGCCTCCTGGCCGACCGCGGCGAGCGGAAAGGGGGCTCGCGGCGCGGCGCATAGCTGCTTGGTCCTGCTTTGCGCCTTTGATATGCTTTCTCCTTGCGAGGCTCAGTTTTCGCCACGAGCTTTTCAGCGCGGGTTTCCGGGTACGGATGGGCGACATTACGCTAGTCGTTACGCCTTTGCCGCGGTCAAGGCGGACGGTGCCGTCACCGCGTGGGCATGCTCTTCGTACGGCGGCAGCGGCGCGCCGACCGAC